TATATATATAATTTGTCTGTATTTTAAGAGTTTGGAAGGAAGACTTGTATTGAGATGTAAGACAGATGTGGACTAAATTTGAATTTTAAATGTCTTCCCAGTCTCAGCATTTGTTTTTCCTTTTTTCCCCCAACATGGTCAGTATAAAGTCATCAGAAAAAATAGATTAATTAATTACTTCCTAACTGTTAATCTTTGGCTCATGTTGTCCTTTTTCAAAAAGCAAAGAGGGGCCTTAGAAATATCCTCCGTCCATCTGTCCATCTATCCATCTTGTGATGCTGGATTACTTGAAATTTAAGCGAGTGACCGACTTCCATTTGTCATGTGTGGCTGCATTTAGGCATAAAAGGAAGGCCCTGTTGAAAACTGGGTTGCCAAATCAAAATTCATGATGGCTGCTGCCATGTATATCAACTGGCCACCCCGATCATTTGAGAAAACTATGCTTTCTTGTTTTTTTTTAAGTTGCCTAATTTATAATTTTCTCAAATGATTGGCCAGTGCAGTGGCCAAACCTTAATCTATTGTGGACCACCACTGGCCACCCCCTGGCTCCATCATTGCACCTGATAGGTAAATTTGTTTTATCTGCTCACCCAAATTCATCACTGCTGTACACAAAAAATAAAACTAACAAAAAACAACTGTGTTTTCCAACCAACTTGAATATCGTGCATCAAGAACATTAAGCTTTACTGACATTCTCTGTTCAATTTCAGTCCAAAAAAATTCTCACCTCAAAAACTGCAAATCCTTCAGCAATGGGGTACATCAGTGAACTGCTTGTTTATTTATTACTGGCTCAATGTCCTCACCATGGAGGCCTTTAATGCAGAGTTTGTGCTAGTTTTGTTTGCCATCCRTAGGGAGGCTGCATTTGTGCTGCTATATATAGAAGATGAACATAAACACTATGATTTAAGCAGCAGATTAAAGGACCACTGCTTTAGACCCTTGTGTTTGTCGTTTCACCATCATGTTGTGTTTGGTGCAGTCAGACATTAGAGGAGAGAGATGGAGACGATTAAGAATGCAATAGATAATCTGTACATCCSTTGTGTCTTCTGTCAAGAAAATAACTTGGATATTTTGAACTTTAACCTTTAAAGGGACTGCTCAGACCTCTTGAAGTGAAGTTCTGTGGAAAGGTTATGAACTATTCATAATTGTAAATGTTCCAGCTTGCTCCTTGCACCAGTTCAGTTTGGAGAACTAAGAGTTTGATTCTGATTAGGTCTGCGTCATGGCAGGATAACTGTGCCGAATTCTGGCCTTTCCGACAATCTTAAAGAAGTTCAGATTATCATGATGGCTCTAAAGATAATCATGGCATTCTGCCATGGGTGGTGAGTTWAGAGTGATCTAATTGGCTCGGAAGGACGTCGGGACCGGTCTGACCTCAAATTGGGAATATTCAACATGTCTGATTTTTTGGCCCGATGTCTCACCATGTGGCGTTCACCTGAGAACAAAGGAGCCTGTTGAATGAGACGTGTAACCAATCAGAAAGCGAGGTGACRTAAACACGGAGGGGATTCCAAAATACAGAAGACAAAAAACTGTCATGACTCACCAGAAAGTCTGCTGGATGTTAAAAGTCCTGTGGAATTGTTTTTCCTCTGGTAAAAATAGTCCACAAGCGATCCACATTGTTTCGTCCTCGTCGCAAATGTTTGTATACTCTGAAATCACATCTCTCTGGAGATCGTGTGAGATTTTTCCACTGGCATTTGAATTCTCGCAAGATTTCAGGAAGTTTTGCGTGATTTAATATCTGACACCTGAATGTTCATGAATGAAATATCTTTTCATGTGTGGTGTGTTGTCCCTTGTCGTGTGACTGTACACCACACACTGTAGGACCAAACCTGGTACATCCACGATTTGTTATCTTCACGTGTGGAGTCTCTCAGTATTTGAAAATCGGCCAGCTGTTTTTAAATCTTGCTCTGTAGGGAGGGAGCCCAGCTGCAGACTGAGCTCCAGGGAGGAGTTTTGTGTAAATAGGCAGAGCTTTGTACCAGTAAGCATTTAGGCAGCTCCACATGGCCGCCACGGAAGATTCAAGAATTTCTCAAACATGCATGGGTTCATCAAAGCAACACGCCGGGTATGTTTTTGATGAGGGAATGACATTATAACCTGATATAAAGCTCAAAAAAGTCAGTTTTGCATTATASCCCCACACCCTTTAATAACAGCAAAACCAGTTTAAACGTCCATAATGTTAACCATGACCAAAACCTTTGCTTTGGCAGCACGACGGCTCAGTGGTTAGCACTGACGCCTCGCAGCAAGAAGGTCCTGGGTTTGATCACCGGTTCGGACCTGGGGTCTTTCTGTGTGGAGTTTGTATGTTCTCCTTGTGCTTGCGTGGGTTTTCTCCAGGTATTCCAGTCCCCCCTCCCCCAAACATGTATAATAGGTTGCCTTCAGGCCCAGACCTCCCTTGAAAAAGAGATCTGAGATCTCAATGGGACTTGCCTGGTAAAAATAATGGTAAATACATAATAATAATTTGGCAAGGCATATTAGCTCATTTAATGTTGCCATGAACATAAAAAAGCAACAATATTAAACCAGAGCAATTGTTAGGAAYGGATTTGTGTGCGTTCATTTCTCTTGTACAGCCTTTTAGAACCATTCCCATGTGTTTATTTTCAGCTTTTGGAGCTTGAAAGTCAGATTAGTTAAAAGTTAGCTACTTATCTGGATCACATTCATCTTCCACAAAAACAATAAATAAATAAATAAAAAATAAACTGAGATCTTGGCAGAATGAGTATATCTGCTTTACTGAATGTACATTTAAATCATTTTCCACCTTCCACACCTGTGCATGAAGAGCACAGCTCACACCGTAGAGATGAAACTGGGGGGGGAGGAGTTTGTAATGCTGCTGCAGAAAAGCCAGCCGCGTGCTGTGAAAATATTAGATAACGATCTTGGTTTTGCTACAGGCTTTTCTGGCACTAGTAAAGTAGTGTAATTTTCTTTTTCAATATGTTACACAATTTTAATATAATAGCCTTTTTATAGTGAGTTCATACGTGTGTGTGTGTGTTTGGGGGGGGGGGGGGTTAGGGTGAAACAGATCAATTTCAAGCACAGTGGAAAATGTTTTGTTTCTCGAGACATTCAGATATTTCTCACCTTTGTTACACAACGCTGCAGAAAAAAAAGAGAAGTTATGTCTTAACACCTTCTTTAGGTGGCAAGAGGTTTGTTGTCAAAGCTCTGACCGCACGATGCTGTTCAGCTTCATAGAATAAACAACAGGGATCTTCTGGGGGCCCAAGACAAACCTTGACAAACATCTGTCCACATTAGGAGCATGTCAAACTGGAGGACAGGGCTTTGTAAATGAGCTATCAGTCAAAGGCAGGGGAGCAAGGAAAACTGTTTGTGGACGTTATGTAATCTAACAGACTATGAACAGATGTAACTAAAGAAGCAAAGTGAGAAGATGTGGGCCGGCCCTCCATGCCGTGCCGTCAGATTACCGGGACATGTTTGTTTTCGGAGACAGGAAGAGGCAATGCAAATAAATACACAACACGGCCAGCGCTTCCCTCCACCGAGCAGTCAGCTGTGGTCTTTCCCTCCGTCTCGCTCACTCTCGCTCTCTAACTGTTATGTGGGACGCCTGGATTTTCTCTGTGGGTTGGTTTTGAGGTTTTCTCTGCAATGCTGCCTGTTTGCCCGTCTGGGTCAGCCCACATATGTGGCACACAGTAGGAGAAGGGTTAAAAGTCCTTTACTCCTCCCTTCACTGCCTGTCTGTTCATCTTAGTCATACCCCCACCCCCACACCCACCCACCATCACCTCCTCATCTCAAAGACACTGCTTCGGTGGCTCGTTTGTGTGCTCGCACTGMGTGTGAGGAATTATTGTTTTATGGGGAGCTGCTTTTGATTGCTGTGCAGGGACCCTCCTATCGTACAATGGCTCCCCTGTTCTGAGGCCCCCGGCTTTCCAAACTAGACCCAGACCCTTGGGGGTGCCACGGAGAAGGTAGAGGTGGGAGGGGTGGGGATTTGAGAAGGTTAGAATGCATCTGTGGAGCACCCCACTCTTCTACCTCCATTGCCAACCCCCCCTTAAAACAACAGACTCTGAGTTGGGCCCTTACCACTAACTTAGGTAAGGACCCTGCATCGCATACCAGCAGGATTTTATTTTATTTTCCACTTGTCCTCAAAGTTGTCTTTGAGTTCATTCAGAAAGAGGTATCCCGCCTGCTCAGCTGTCTCAGAGTTCAGTCTGCACCACTTCTCCATGTGCAGCAGCTTGTGTTTTCTCTGCAGATTTTTGTTTTGGGGGGGTCTGTTTTCCACTCACTGATTTATGCCTTGGGGCAGCTAAAATTAAGAGAGCATTTTGGTGCCGCCCAGAGTGCCTGAGTAAGTGGAGGAATGCAGTGCAGAGCTCTCCGCTCCATAAGGTGAAGTGAGCAGGCATACGAGGACTCTCACCTCCCAGGAGCAGTGCTGAAAACACTGAGGGAGCCCTGGAAGTTTTTATCCCACCCCCCCACCCCCAACTGTTTTAAGGTCTGGCTTTTTTATTTTGTGGATGTCAATACTTGAAACAAATGTTTGTTTTTGTTATCATTACTTAAATAAGAAAAAGCAGCAAAACAGTGCAGCTTTAAAATAAAGAAGCTGAACTCTCTGCTGCCACCTGCTGGTCACTGATAACGTTCAGGAGCTTTTTATGCTCTGATTTTGCTCTGAACATTAATTCAGTTTGTGCAAATGTATTATGAATAGCATTCAGTTTCTGCAACAGCAGATATTTTTAAACAAAGCAATGCTGAACTTTATTAGTTTAAATAAGTGCTCTTGTGAAGAGTTGTTTATTTATTTATTTATTTTATTTTTTGGCTTTCCTGCACTAGTTTTGTTTGTACATTCAATAATCTAATTCCATACTTTTTTTCAGGTAGCTCATCATTATCCTACAATACACCATCTCACACAGACCCCTCTCCACGTCTGGCTGCCAAAGAAGGTAAACTCGTTTTATTATTATTTTTTTCCACCTTCTTTTAATTACTTTCCCGATTATGTTCACTGCTGGTCAAGTAGTTGTGCTTTTCTTGGTCACCAATATACATACATACATAATTTATTTATTTTTACTTGTGAACTGTATCCTTTAGATCTCTCTCTCTCTCTCTCTCTCTCTCTCTCTCTCTCTCTCTTTATATGTTTGTTTCTGTTGTTTAAATGAAATAAATTTAATAAAATAACTGTAAAGTATTATATTATGATACTTGTACTTTTACTCAAGTATCG